TTATTAAATTTTAAATATTCAATTTATGGTGCATTGTGAACGATTTATTGTGTTTTGAAGGTGCAAAGTGCTATTAACTTTTTTTAAGGGTTGAAAGTGCCAAAATATTATATATTAAGGATGCAAAGTGGGATTAAAAACTATATTTAAAGTCCGACCCGTTTGTAGCTGGAATCGGATCCTGCCTGACCCAACCAAATCAGCGGGTCATACCTATGCCCGAATAAATCACATCATATGGCCGTCCACGGGTCTAGGAGAGAGCTCAAAATTATTATTAGTCGACTTTCACTCAAAATAATCTTATTTTCTTTTCTTTTATTTTTATTTTTTATTTTTTATTTTTTATTTTCCTAAAAAACTTAGGATAAATTACAACTATCTCTTTGAAGTACACTGTAATTATAAAAAAATATTCTTAATTTTGTAGCAATTACATCAATCTTCATATAGTTTGTAAATTTGTATATCCATCGTCGTCCAAAGGGTGTTACTGTACTAATTTGCAAATTGCAGGGGTGGATGTAATCATGGAACAATGAGGGGTTTTTTTTGTAAATAGATCATAATGCAGGGGAAGCTTGTAATTCACCCAAAATTTTATATGAAAATAGTGTAAATATTTAAAGATAAGAATATTATTCACGGGTTTATTTTTTATTATGATAATTGATAAAATAAATAAAAGTTTTTATTTATTTATTTTTTTAATGAAAAAATAAATAAATGGCAAGAAGATCTTCTATTGCGGAGTGATTGACGGTCAAATATTATGATAATATATTTAATTTGCCAGCCTAACTAACCACGTTCCCTCAGATAGAAGAAAAGAAAGGTCAACAGAAACACTTATGTGGTCATAAACATTCTTTCACAATCAACCATAAAAATATAATCTTATTCTTGTCTACGTTTCTCGTTTCTCGTATGGCTTGCAAGCTATTATACGAGAGCATAAGTTTACATATTGCAACCATATGATTGACTGCAGATTTATTCATTACGATTTTTTTTAAATAAATACATAATATAATTTGGCTACTAATTCAGCCACCATTCATGGCAAATTGCCAATCATTGAAATTTTTTTGGAAGAATAATCACTTTATTTGTAATATATATTCTTCTACATAATGATCAATATTACCCCCTAGAAACATTTCAATAAATTCTCTCAATTCGTATAACATTGTGTAGTTGACTTGAGAAGTTTCGATGGATACACGAATACAGTTCAATCCGTTTGTCAACATTTTTTAAATTAAGCTCATTGTACAGCTTTTCCCGTTATATTATAGTTTACACTTCTCGCATGATTGTATTGCTCGCGGGCTTTCTGTATTAGTAACATAGTGAGTAATTTTTTTAGTACTGGTCGTTTTTTTTTTCCCTTTTTGAATGAAGGAACCCTCAGCCAACCATATAAGTGAATTGAGTAAACATACACTCTCGTATAATAGCTTGCAAATCATATAAAAGACATAAACCACACTAGGTTAATCATGTGTGATAAACTTCACATAGCGACCGTTGACAAAAGGGATTCGAATTTGGATCAATTGACACAGACTCACTTGCTCCAACCGCTAGGCCATCCCTTGCGAGACTTATTAATCGTTTTCTGAAATTAGAGAAGTTAGCCTAGACTTAACTAGCAACATGTGTAGTTACCAAATCTTTAAGCAACTATTAATTCATAGCATTTTATATCTACACGCTATATACATGCAACTTAATTTATAGCTAATACTATTATTTAGTTATCAATAAGTGTTTTCATCTTAAATTGAAAATTGTCTTATTCATGTATCCAATTGACCAAACACATGTCTAGACTCTAGGCAGACATTGCGCCATTGGCTATCAATTAGAACTTTGCTATTTTCTTCAATCATATATTGAGTAATTAAAATTTATTTTTATTTAGAAAAAAAAATTGAGATTTATTGTAAATATTTTTTCATTAGTTGTACCTACCCTTTCAATTTCCTGTAAATATTTTTAGTTTGCTTTAGTTTTACTATTGTGACTCACTTGTGTAAGATTCCAAAAATCCCCCTTCTGTTTAGGTAATTACAATCATTCTTCAATTATGTATTTTTTACGAAAATCCCTCTCATTTAGTAGGTAAATTTTCCACCATAGGAGTCGAAGTATAAGACAATACATAGTTGAATGATGGTTGCAATCACCCAAACAGAAGAGGGGTTTTGCAATTTGTCCTTAGAAGATTGGCCGTAATTTTGCCACATTTTAATTTTTACTTCAAAACAAGAACTTAACAATTGCTTTTACATACTATAAGCATTAATAAAGATAAGTACTTAATAAGTTCTTTTTTTTACTTCAATATAAGAACTTAACATCTCATTGGCCTTACCTTCACAATATATCAAAGCCCCAAATTAATAGTGAAATTCTAAGTTTGAATTAATAATAATGAAGTTTAATTGTATGGTCATTTTAATCATATTATCAATATATACACATAACATTTTTCAATATACAATAAAGTATTAGTTTACAATATAACCACTTTGCAAGACTTTGAAATTGTATTAGTTAAACAAATTGTCAATCTAGATAAAAACAAAGAGTTAAAGCAACCACTAACAAATGTGGACTTATCTCTTGTCAAAATTACATGATTTGGTTTGGTGGACTCTTTACACTTTCTTTTTTCTTCTTTTGCAACAAATCCTTTGCCAGCTTACATACACAATTGATAACAAGATTGTAATAAGGTGGTTTGTTTGTGCTACACCTGGTGAAGTGCACCGGATGATTAATAACCGTTGATCTCTACACAATCACACACACTTCTATGTGTATATGTGCTTAGCGGGAAGTTATTTCACAACATCAACAGTTAATAATTACCCGATATATTTCACCAGGTGTAGCATCTCAAAGACCTAATAAGGTGGTGTTTGCAAAAGCTTATTCAAAAGTAAAAGTCAATGATTGTGAGTTAAGTGAGTATTAAGTACTTATTTTTAAAAGTCGTTGGTGTTTGCAAATATTCTGAAAAATGAACTTACATCTTATTTTAAGAGAAGCAAAGCAAATTTTGATACTGCAAACAACTGAAAACAGATTAGGAACAACAAAGAAAAACTCTGAAGTTGTTTTTAAAAGCTTTTGAGAACACTGACCCAATTATGTAAAAGTAAGATACATGGATTGTTAAAAGTTAAAACTCAGGATTTGAGAATTTTTTTGAAAAGTTATACTAATAATTAAGCTCTTTTCCTCTTATTTGACTTTTTTCATGTTCACAAATAAAAAGTTATTTTGCTAAATATACATATTGTATATTATTATGAATCACAAATCCTAATAGCTTTATATGTCCTTATCAAAGTTCAAAATTACTGGAAAATTAATACATATATTATATAACCAGTAATATTTTACTTGATTACATTTCAACCAAGATGCCAATTTTACTCTCAATATAAAAGTTCAAATAAACTTTGAATCATTAAAAAATGTTAGAATCATAAAAATAACATTATATTGAATGGTAACAGATCGTATAAAAATCGATATGATTAACGTAAAATCGTAATTCTTTTTAGATTTGAATTGATAAGCTAAAAAATTCGAAACAATTCGATGGGTCGAATGTTAAATAATATGAAATCAAATTATCATTCTTTCCGGAAATGTTTACATATAGGTCACTAATTTTTATATTGAAAGCTCATAAACTCTTTAAGTACAAATTAAATATGACCAAAATTTTATAAGCTTGACCTAATTTGAGTTGGTTTATTTATTTCTATAAAGGTGGGCTTTTCGCTGCAGCCCAAAATGTTTTATAGATTAAAGCCCAAAATGATAAGCCGAGTCCACTTTTCATTTGTCCAAATCCATAGCTTGACGCATACAAAAGTCATATAATATAATAGGCTAAATTACGGCGAGCCCCTTAAAGTAAGGTCAGATTATAAAAATATTTTCAGTTTAGATAATTACAACTATCACTTAAATATGAATTTTCTTACTCGTTCACTATTATGTTGTCAAAGTCAACAAAATCTTTTAGATTTCGTGGAATGTTTCTAATTTGTACAAAACATTAGTTTCCGATGAACTACAATATGATATTTACAAGACAAGAGACACATCTTAGAATCATCTTGTTTCAAACTGTGGAATTCGAAGGGGGTGAAACGAGTTCAAAATGGAAAATTTTCCATCTAATTTAGAAGATTCCACTAATTTTAACTCGTGGACATGTAAGAACATTCATAGTTGAGGGAGTGATTGTAATTACCCAAATATAAGAGGTTTTTCGTCATTTGACCTTATCTCTGGGGGCTGTAATTTACCCAATATAATATTATTGCATGGTTCAAAAATATTGTTCTGAATACTCAAATTGAAATGTTAAATGTCGTTTAAGTTTTACTAATATCGAATGATTTTGACTTTTTTTTAGTCCAATTTTGGCAAAATTCAAAACACAAAAATTATAGTCCTTTAAGTATTTTTGTAACCCAACTTAATTCATCTAAATCGGATGTCTGAGTGAAAGCTATGCATCAATGAATAACATTTTAAATTTTAGATGGCTTACAATATCAAAATTATGAGCAATGTACATGAATTCATGCATATTTTTCTTCCCCGTCATCCATTTTTTTTGTAATTCAAGTTGAATTAAAAAACTTAATAATTAAGTACAAATTAACCTGCTTAAGCTCATCAGCTATTATTTATCCATATAAAGAACTTAAACCCCCACAATTTATTTAACTTATAATTCACAATTAGATCTTATTGAAAATTTTCTTATCTATAGAGCTGAGTTGAGCATTAAACGAAAAAAAAAAAAAAATAGAAATTCCATCATTTATTTAATTTATTCTCACATATATACATCAAAACATCCATAAAATCAATCATGTACAATTTCATCACACCCAATTTATTTTATTTTGACACAACACAAAGATATTTTTTTTAATTAAATAAAATAAAATTAAAGCAACCTACGACCATCGATACTGAAGAACCCGTTGGCCATTAATTTCCAAAAACAATCCATCGTCATTCACATCCCAAATGCACGTTTTACCGGAGCACCTTTTACTATCTCTGTCGGAATCGTACACATCTAAATGCACATGCGAATTTCCCATGCTCATGTCACATGATGCCAAACTCCTCTTCTTAACAAGCACGTGACACACAAAAAATTCTTTCCAAGTAGGTTGGAGCGTGTGGACCCCGACATCTTCACCTCCATTATTCGTAATGCAATGAGTCGTTAAATTCTGATTTCGGGACTCGTTTCGAATTAGAATTTGCCAATCGTATAATGTAAGGGGGAAAACAATTGGGATTATTGTGTTCACCACCAAGAAAATCAGCAACATTTTTGTTGTAGCCATTGTTTTTAATTTTTCACCACCAATTTTTTTTTTTATAATATTTATAAAATTCGATAATTCTTTGACTACTATTAGGGTCCTATTTATAATTATCTGAAGAATTGTTTATTTTGTAAATATTGGTGAAATTTTCGTAATTTAGGATGTGAGTAGGTAATTAGTAAATGTTTCGTATGCGCAAACTATTGCTTGTAGTGATAATCTTTTTTTTTTTTTTTTTTTTTTTCTTTTTTCTTTTTTCTTTTTTTCCCCCTTTTTTGACCATGTTTATAGTAATCTTATTACAATATAAGTAGTTGATGGGTAAATTACGACCACCTCTAAAGTAAGGTTAAATTACGAAAAACCGCGCATGTTTGGGATTTATAGCAATCCTACTGAACTATGAATCTTCTTACACGTCCTCCTTTACGGTCTCAAATTCTACATAATCTTCTAAATTCGTGGAATGTTCTCTAGTTTGTACTTGTTTTGTGCAAAAAAGTTGTTTCTGGTGCGGCATAATCTGATATTTACAGGACAAGAGACACATCTTATGATCATCTTGTTTCAAAATGTGGGGTTCGAATGAGGTAAAACAAATAAAAACTGGAGAATATTCCACGCAGTCTAGAAGACTCCACTAAATTTAATACCAAAAAAGTGGACGTATAAGAAGATTCATAGCTGAGGAATGATTGTAATTACTCAAATATAAAGATTTTTTTTTTATAATTTGACATTACCGTAGGGGTTGCCGTAATTTATCTATAGTTGATTTGATTTCTGATATTTTCAAGGGACCGGCCTATTAGATTTTAATAGTAAAAAATATTGGCCCAAATGTTAGATGGGCCAAGGTATTAAATGACATCATTATATTGTTGGGCTTTTAATTTATCTAATTATAGTTTATCAAACCTTCTAAACGATTTATACAATCATCATCTTACATTAATTGTTTATAAAATATAAAATATCATAAAATAGAAACTCTTAAGTCTTAAATCAATCACATCACCACTAATGAACACATCTAACATATTTTATAAAAAACATAAATAATTTTAACTAGTGATATTTAATTTCGATCCAAAAGGATAATAGTGTAGAAAACAATCAAATATGGGGCTCGTATGGTTAAGTATACCGGATAAATTTAGATTAGATGAGATTACATTAATTTCATATAGACTAATTAATTAATTAATTAATTAGTATTCGATATTAAATAGGTTAAATTATGATATTATAATTTATATGTGCTTTTTGTATAAAACTTTTTATTTAATAAAATTAACGTGTAGTTTGAAGGATAAAATTATTTCTTATTTGTTTAGTCACCTTCTATTAAATTAAGATGGGTGTTACTAATTTAATGAAATAGTAATATCTAATAGCGGACTTTGATTTCAGTATCGTGTTTGAAAAAATGTGAATCTTGCCAACTGAACGTATTACCAACTCGACTATTTAGTCATTAAAATCTTATAACGGTAGCCAAACGAGCCTTTTTTTTTTTTTTTGTGCCGTGCGTTAATTTAATAGGAATTATCTGACAAACATCCATCATTAGACTCATCCCATTACAATGAGTCCAATTTTTTTTTTTCCATTTTTAAGATAAATCCAAAACTCTTTTAATTAATAAGAATTAATATAATTTCACAATTATACCCTTCTTCCTATTTGACATAATTCTATTATTTAATATTAATTTATTGTAATCTCCATCCAAACTCCCAAACCCTACTCTCAAACTATTTTCTCTCTCACGTATATTTTTCCAAGCCGCCATCATCACCAAACTTTTCTCTCTCACATATTTTTTCCAAGGCGGCTTCAGAATATATTTCTCTTGATGGTTACAATTTTTTGATTCTCTGTCCTTCTAGTGAAGCACAACAGAGCCCTAATCCTTTACAATTTCTGTTTTTCTGCTTTATCAGATAATTGTTCGTATACTATTCCCTAGATTTCCGAAGGTCTGGTTTAAATTATTGAATAATTTGAGATTTTTTTGTTCTAGTATTTCATATTTTTTTTCTAAATATTTTTTGCGTTACTTCCTTGCTTATTCAAGTCATTATTAGGATATGTAGGATAAATTAGGCGAAATCTGCTCATAATTTTTGGTAATAACCATAATTTTTGGTAATGGATGTTCATTGCCACACGTTGTTAATCTGCTCATATTAGTATGATATTTGAATTTTATATTATTTTATGCATTTAAGAATCTAGTTTTCAATATTTTTGTAATTTATACGAGGATATCAATATTAGTTTATGGCTCAAATTTTCAGGACGCAATGGAATAACGAGAAGAAGATGATTCCACGGATTATGCTCTAAGGTTCATTTGAGAGAAGATGATGTCCTTTATAGTGGGTTTATAGCTTTTTTTCGTTGAAATTTGATGTTTTATTGTTAGAATTCATAGTGGTTTTCGATGTTTATATAGTTGTGTATACAGAGTGGTTTTCTTGTTTATATAGTTGTTTATACGGAGTGGTTTTCATAATGTCACGCTTTGTCTTTGATAAATTTATAGTGGTTTTCAACAATTTTATAGTGGTTTTTCAATAATTTTTGTACATATTTTTATATAACTGTATATACATGGTGGTTTTTATGCTGACATATTTGTTATATAGAGTAGTTTTCAGTTTACATAGTTGTTATAAAGAGTGGTTGCCATGTTAATAGTTGTTATACAGAGTGGTTTTCATGTTTATATATAGGGATTTTTATTTAAAAAAACTGGAAAGAAAAAATAAACAAAAAAAAAACATTTAAAAAAAATTGAAATTAAGAAAAAATAAAAACCATGAAAAAACGAAAATAAAAATAAAACCATTTTGTTAAATTAAAATAAAAAACATGAAAAATATAAATAAGAAAAAAAATTAATTTCAAATAAAAAATCGAAAATAAAAAAAATAAAATAATTACAAAATTTTCTTTTAAATCGAAATAAAGAAAACCATTAAACAAAATAAAAAAAGAAAAGAGGAAAAAAAAAATGAACTGGCGAGATGATGTGAATAATTTTTTGAGAAGATTTGGGTGTAGATTATGGATATAATTTATTTTAAATTAAATAATTATACTAATTAATAATTAGTGGGTGCATATATGATTTTTCAGGCCCATTGGATTTATCACAAATCATTTATAAATAAATTAAATGATTTATCAAAAATTAAAATTCCAATTAAGGGTGTTTGACATATAACTCCAATTTAATATTACCATCATTTAAAAAAAATCCTAAAATAAATGGTAAATTATAATTCTCAATTATTACATCATAAAAATGGCAACATAATTTTTGTCAACACTAGTATTTAATAGTATCTGAATTTAAAAAAAAAATTAAAAAAAACACACAATTTAGTGATTTACAACGCATTTGCACAGCTGTCATTACCTAGGATTTTCAATAAAGCCAACTCCAGTAGTACAGTACATCACCACAACACGCATCAACACTCTGCAACACTCGTCACTCTCGAATCAAACAAAACCACGCCCACCAACTGTTCGATGAAAATCCCAGACCAAACCATGGAGTACAAAAACCTCGGCAGATCCGGCCTCAAAGTCTCCCAGCTCTCCTACGGCGCGTGGGTCACCTTCGGCAACCAGCTCGACGTCAAGGAGGCTAAATCCCTCCTCCAGTGCTGCCGCGACAACGGCGTCAATTTCTTCGACAACGCCGAGGTCTACGCCAATGGCCGCGCCGAGGAGATCATGGGCCAAGCCATCAAGGAGCTCGGCTGGAAGAGATCCGACATCGTCGTCTCCACCAAGATCTTCTGGGGCGGGCCCGGCCCGAACGACAAGGGTTTGTCCAGAAAGCACATACTCGAAGGAACAAAGAATTCTCTGAAGCGGCTGGATATGGAGTATGTGGACGTGATCTATTGCCACCGGCCCGATATCAATACTCCGATTGAAGAAACAGTTAGGGCTATGAATCACGTGATTGATAAGGGGTGGGCTTATTATTGGGGGACGAGTGAGTGGTCTTCTCAGCAGATTACGGAGGCGTGGGGTGTGGCCGAGAGGCTCGATCTCGTCGGGCCCGTTGTCGAGCAGCCCGAGTACAATTTGTTCTCCAGGCATAAGGTATTTCTGGATTCTGGATTTGAATTTAATTGTTATATCAATAATTGAAGATGTGGATGTGGTCATATATGGCAATTATGTAATATTGATTTGCTGTTATGAGTTATCCCTTTCGGGCAAAAATCGGAAAATTCCATTGTGCACATTAAAAGCTGTTTGAAATTTTATGATTTGGTTTTGGTGGCTGTGTGAAGAGTGGGTGTTGTTTTTTAATTGTTTCTTGAATATATATTGAATTATTAATATGTTTGTTTTTATCAGCGATCGAGAATATCGTGTGGTTATTCCGTTTCGTAATTCTTGAGAAATCTATTATTCTTTTCTTTGGTGTGTGCGTGTGTCTGTGAACTATGAAGTTCTGAAATTTATTGTATTTTTCGTGTTTTGTGGTAAAATATACAGTTAAAAATGCAATCTTTTTGAAGATTTTTCGTCTGTTTCGGATTGTACTTATGATATCTTATATCAGTTTGTATTCAACTATGGTATTGTTCTTATTGAATTGTGGATTTAATTGCTTTCTGATTTTTTTTATTTAATTGTTATCTCAGTAATTGAATATGTAGTGTGGTCATATATGGCAATTCTGTAATATTGATTTGCTGTTATGAGTTATCCCTTTCGGGCAAAAATCGGAAAAATCCATTGTGCACAATTAAAGCTGTTTGGAATTTTATGATTTAGTTTTGGTTGCTGTGTGAAGAGTGGGTGTTGTTTCTTAATTGTTTTCTTGAAGATATATTGAATTGTTTATTTGTTTGTTTTTATCAGCAATCGAGAATATCGTGTGGTTATGCCGTTTCGTGTGTGTGTCTCTGTGAACTATGAAATTCGTAAATTTGTTGTATTTTTTTCGTGTTTTGTAAAAAAAGCTATCTTTTTCAAGATTTTGCGTCTGTTTCGGATTTTATTTATGATATCTTATATCAGTTTTGTATTGAACTATGGTGCAGGTTGAGTCAGAGTTTCTCCCTTTGTACACTAACTATGGTATCGGCCTAACCACGTGGAGCCCACTTGCGTCTGGAGTTCTGACCGGCAAGTACAACGCGGGGAATATTCCATCGGATAGTAGATTTGCCTTGGATAATTATAAGGTAAGTATCGAAAATTAATCTTAAATGTTCTCTGTTCGTGTTGCTGTCGTAAGATTTTCTAGTTTCTACTTCCACGAATGTTGTGTTCAGGGAATCGGATTGATCAAAACTAACACTTTCGGCAAAATTCCATATTTTTTTTTGAAAGTGAAAAAGTAATTTACAATTTCGTTCCGAGAAAAAAAATTGAAAAATCAGATATCCGAATTTCGGAAATTGGAAATTTTCAGATAAGAAACGGTGGAATTCGAAAATTTCCAACTTTTAGTAGCCTAACATATAAAATACACAACAATTTCGACATTATAAGGGTATTTCTCGGAATTATTTTCGTAAATTATAATCGGAATTGTCGGAATGAAAAATATTGTTCCAAAATCGGAAATTTTTGGATCAGAAGCGCTGGAAATCGGAAACTCCTTTCCAATTTCCACGTATAGTGTCACACGAGAGTTGAATTTTTGTTTGTTTGAGGGAACGATTACTTACGAAATAATGAATGTAATATCGTAGAAATGAATTTTAATCATACTCAAATTACTCTATAAATTTTGGACCAGCATGTAATACAACTAATTGAGTATAATTACTTCTCCTCTCTACCATTTTCGTTATTAAAGTTGTTGATTCATTTCGTATTGTAAGAGAAATTTTAATAGTAGTTGTATAGTCAAATATCGAGTTTATTATTATAATATATTTTACCGTTGATGCAGAATCTTGCGAGCAGATCATTGGTCGATGATGTACTTAAGAAAGTGAGTGGACTGAAACCAATCGCAGAAGCGTTGGGCGTGCCTTTATCTCAACTCGCAATTGCTTGGTGTGCTTCGAATCCCAATGTATCGTCTGTTATTACGGGCGCCACAAAAGAGGCCCAGGTCAGCATAATCGTCCCGTTTTTATTTTTTATTTAATTTTTTTATGACCAATTATCGTAATAGTTCTTTACAAACTCATTTCTTATTCTGAAAAATAATTGATCGAATAATTTCGGGCAAATGCAGATTCAAGAGAATATGAAGGCTATTAATGTTATTCCTTTGCTAACACCTGAAGTGTTGGAGAAGATCGAAGCTGTTGTTCAAAGCAAACCCAAACGCCCCGATTCCTACCGGTAGACGACATCATTATTTTGCCCGTTGTCATTTCATCGTAAAGATTGGTATTTGCTATTTCGGAGTTTTTTTTTCGTCTTTTTTTTTTCCGGGTATTTTTAATGAGTGTGGTGATGAACTGTAAAACATGATTAGTGACTGATATTTGTATAATGTGATTTTATTTATTTATTTTGTTGTCACTTTGGTTATTTTTTTTTTGGTAATAAATTGGTTGAAATTGAAACATCATTTATAAGGAAATTAGCTGGAGGTCCCTCAAAAATATTATCTAGCCATAAGAAGGGCACGCACATTTGTTATTTTGCTAAAAGTCCCTGTGTGCTCCAACTCTAACGGAATCGCTTAGGATGACTAACAGTAACGGCGACGACATGGTAATTCGCGAAACTTAGTTGCACATCTTAGTTAATTAATAAGCAACAATTTACTTAAAACTTAAAATACAGTTACAAACAAATTAAAACAAGAATATATGTTTTCCACAACATATACACAACTTACACAGACAACTTAGTTGCACAACTTAAACAACTTATTTGCATAGTTTAATTACACAGCTTAATAAATTGCTTGAAATTGAAACATGGTTTCTTAATTATTTGGGGAATTTTTGAAGTCATGTGCCTTTGGTATGAATTTATCATCAATTTATTCAATTACTAAAAAGAAATATAATCTATTTTATGCAAAAACCATTTATCATCTATTTATGTAAAAACATACCACTTGAATATGGAAATATGATAACTGTTTTTATCTTTGACAATATCATTTTTTTTCATACTTCTGATACATTTTTATTTTGAGATTGATTTAGGAATATGTATTTCCTGTTCTAATTCCTAGTTCATTTGAAAGTATAACTTTTTTTCTTTTTTTCTAATTGTGTGCTATTTTTCATGAATAGTTTCTGAAAAGTAAGGGAACATTAGTCCCAAATCGCTATAAAATTTATGCTAAATTTTCAACACTGCATTAATCACTTTTCAACACTCTTTTCTTAGGGAAAATTGGCTAAAACTCCCTAAAAAATATTTTGAATAACTAACAGGGTGGGCGGATATTTTGAATTTGCTATAACGGTTTATGGATGAGTGCTCTTGGAGTAGTCGACTCGGCCCTGAACCTACGTGCCTATGACTTCGTTTCTCAAGAAATTCGCGCAATGGAAGATCCGGAATTTGAGACTTTCTACACCAAAAATATTCTATTAAACGAAGGTATTCGTGCTTGGATGGTGGCTCAAGATGAGCCTCATGAAAACCTTATATTTCATGAGGAGGTTCTATCCATCGAGTAGCTTAGATTGGATAGACAGATTAGACGGAAAATAAACATCTTAAACTGAAAACAAACAACTTAGATCGAACGTATAGACTGGAAATAGACAGTCTATACTGAAAATGGACAGCATAATCGAAGAATTTGAATTGAAAATACACAACTTAGTTGGAACCTTTAGACTGGAATTAGACAGTCTATACTGAAAATAGACAGCTTAGATTGAAAATCAATGAAAATAACATGTTCCAATAATGTTGTCAGCGGAAATTAGACAGTCTGCGGCAGAGGACTAGAAGGGATGGATAGAAATGCCATTTTTGGAAGTAGGTGTTGTTCTGAGGACGGATGAGTTAGAGGTGAATAAGGTATTTTCGTTTTAAAATAACTATCTTCAGTCTAAATTCTCCAACTAAGCTGCACGAGGTACTTGTAGCAAAATACAAAAATATGAATGTCATGATCTGAAAGGGTATTAGCGCCGAAAGATGTCTAGCAAATTGCCCTTTTCTAAACACCTAGTTCTCTCTATTATTAATTATAAGACCAAGTCCGGATCCACTACCTTTAGTGAACGGTTGAGTCACTGATTTACATTCCTCATTAAATACTTGTCGAACCTGTGAATGGGGGCTCTGAGAGCGATAAATTTCACTTTTGGTGTGAGGCGCAATTAATAAAATCTCTAATCCTTGTGCAAAGGTAAAAAAAATATTGATTAAAAGGGTACATATTTATTATTTATATATCCTTGTTAGGCAACAATCTCAAAACCCCAATTGGTTTTATTTTATTTTATTTTATATATTTATTTGGTTTTTAAAACCACGAGGATGGCGCGTTGTTCCATGATGATTCTTTGCAAAAATGGTCACTCCCATTTCTTCCTCTGAAATTCCGAAATCCATGCAATGCCCCTTCTCTCATATCTCTCTCTCTCTCTCTCTCTCTCTCTCTCATCTTTCTCTCTCTATCAACCTCTACCTCACGAAACAAAACCCCCATTGTTCATCAATCAACACTTTCTTCTTTCTGGAGGAGCCCCGCCCTAATTTTACCCAAAACACGTCAAAGAAAGGGGTAAATTTTTCATTTGGGCATAATGAAACCGACAAACGATTAATCAGATGCTTGGATGAATAATTTTACCAGGCTTGGTAAAATGGTAAGTATTTTGTTATTTGGGTAAATTACGGCCACCCACCCTGAGCTCATGTCAAATTGCAAAAAAATTCCCTCATATTTGAGTAATTACAACCAGCCATCAACTATGAATCTTCCTACACGTCCATTCTTACGGTGTCGAATTTAATGGAATCTTCTACATTATATGGAATATTCTCTAGCTTGTACCCGTTTTATCCATTCGAGCTCTATATTTTGAAACAAGATGATCATAAGATGCGTCCCCTTGGCTTGTAATTATCAGATTGTGATGCATCAGAAACTACATTTCTGCACAAATCGAGTACAAACTAGAGAATATTCCACGGAATCTAGAATATACTGTTGAATTTGACACCGTAAAGCTGGACGTGTAAGAAGATTCATAGTTGAGGAATGATTGTAATTATTCAAATAGGAGGTTTTTTTTTCCGTAATTCAATCTTATCTGAGGGGTGGCCGTAATTTAGCCTGTACTATAAATGATTTTGGGATTGCATTGTCGATTCTAACGGTTTGCTTTTTCTAGTTTCCGCGAAAACAAGTTGATGATGATTGTCTGACTGATGATGAATAGTTTGTGAGGGCAAGCAAATTTGAAGTGCCCTAATTAATGTTTCGGGGAACCTCCGATTTCGTTTGCTGCCTAGGAACAAGTAGTCTATGTAGCTGTTTTTTTCGATTTCGAAATTCGAAACTCGACGAATTGCATCGTACGAGTAATGATGCACAATGCCGATAGATATTGAATAACAAGTTCGAAGGGGCTGATATAAAACACTAATGCCGAGTGAAAGTTCGTCTCCGATCGAAAAAACATGGAAAGAGAACTGTGCTGCCGCACGAGCCAAAAACCGAACAACGCCAATTCCGACAACGTCAAACCACTAAACAACAACATCTCGTTGCAGACGGGCGAGGAATTCTCGCCCGAGTTCTTGAGAGATCATCTCACGTCTCGAATAACCCCTTTCGCCAAAGATATTGACCATAATACCCCTACGAACAAACTGAATTTCGACACTCGAGAATTCCACGATTTTTCTCCGAGCAACAGCAACACCTATCTGCACCGCAGAAAGTTCTCTCATGACGAAATCATCAACCGAGCAACAACTCCGTCGAGTCCGTCGATTTATTCGTCCGATTCCCCTTACTACAATCAACGGTTGGGATTCTCCGATCTCCCGCTCTACGAAAAAATGAAGTTCCTCTGCAGTTACGGAGGCAAAATACTGCCGAGACCGAGCGACGGAAAGCTTCGATACGTCGGTGGAGAAACGAGGGTTATTTCGATAAGTAAGACGCTAAATTTCTTCGAGCTCGTTAAAAAGACCAACGCCATCTGCAACAACCACCCTCATACGATTAAATATCAACTTCCGGGCGAAGATTTGGACGCGCTCGTGTCAGTTTGTTCTGACGAGGATCTACATCACATGATAGACGAATACCACGACTTGGAGAGAAGTTGTCAGAGATTAAGATTGTTTCTCGTTTCTTGTGGCGATAGTAGTAACGAGAGCCCTTGTTCTTTAGAAGGGAGGGGTAATAACGTCATTATTCAACAAAGGGATACCGATTATCAGTATGTGGTTGCGGTTAATGGGATGACGACATCTAGCAGAGAGAGTTTGGATTCGAGCCCGATTTTGCGGAGGAATTTGTCGAATCTCAAGTCGATGCATTCAAATGCGATTTCTCGTGATTTTAGTAATACAAATAAGATCAGTTGTTCCCGTGTTTCGAACGATCGAGTTAATTACGAGAAAACCGCACCGAAGAACGAAGAAGGGAGGGTGGATAAATCTCCTATGAATTCCGATGAAGAAAGGTCGAGCTCGTCTCAAGAAGGTGCAGTGCAACAAAGAAAGATAGAGAAATATAAAAAAATCAAGAATAAGGATAAGAGAAACGAAGCTACTATCGAAGAATACGATGCTTCGGATTCCGATTTTCTTGAACGAAAACGGAATTTGGCGAAAATAATATGCTCGTTAGATTCGCGTAGTTCGGCGAAAGATACGACCAAAGAGTTTCCGTTAAATTATCAAGCGAGTCCGAACGAGCTCGATTCTCCGTTCAAGAGCCAAAAAGAAAGTAACAACGACCACAAGCTTTATATCGACGACGAAATTATGTACGATTATTACGAGAGGAGTTTGAAAGATTCTCGTCACATTGTACCAGAACAGGAAAAAAGTAGAAAGAGCAATTTGGTCCGTTCTCGATCGTCGGATAGTTGTCCTAAAACTTATGTGCCGATAGTAGTTGAAGATGTGACTGGCTGTGTGCCAGCTGGCGTTGGATCGCACTCGAAAGCGGTCCCGCATGTACAAGATTACGATGATAGTGGATCGCGTGGCGAAGAAACGGAAGCTGAAACCGCTACCCCTGAATCTGGATATGGAGTATGGCATTTATTAAATAAATAGTTCTTTATTTATTTTTTATTTATTATTATTTTTTGGATTAATGTTAAATTGATGTCGATTTTCGTGTGGTGTTTAATGTAGGATGTTAAACCTGATGAAGACGATAAGGATGCGTCGATATGCGATGCTGCTGTAATTGAAATGGAAGCCGGCATGTATGGTTTGCAGGTACAGTTAAACCTCTATAAATTAATGCAGTCGGGACAAACAGAATTCTATTAATTTTAGCGAAATATTAAATTATCGAACTAATTTAGTAAGTTTTTACTGAGTCGGGACCAGAAGAAACTATTTATTCAAGCGAGGTTATTAATTTATCGAGGTTCTACTGTAATTAGTAAATTTATTTTACAATTACGAAATGCAGATTTGATTTCATAAATTTAGCAGTATCGTGGTTGATGCGTTGTATATTGTAAAAAAAATGAAATTAAATATCATAATTTTGACTCGATTACGAAATCGTATTAACAGATCATAAGAAATGCCGATCTTGAAGACCTAAAAGAGTTGGGATCCGGTACATACGGAACAGTGTACCACGGCAAATGGCGGGGTACGGATGTCGCGATCAAGAGGATAAAAAAGAGCTGCTTTGCTGGCAGATCTTCCGAACAAGATAAATTGGTTCGTCTCACTTTTATATATATTAAAGAAAAGGAAAAAAAAAACTATTTCGTCAAAAGTTCGATTTTGTTTGTAGACCAAAGATTTCTGGAGGGAAGCTCAGATTCTATCGAAACTTCATCATCCAAATGTAGTTGCGTTTTACGGTGTGGTTCCCGATGGACCCGGAAGTACGTTGGCTACTGTTACCGAATATATGGCCAATGGTTCACTAAGGCATGTTCTCTTGAGAAAGGATCGGTAAGTTTTTATTTATTTTTTATTTATTTATTTTCCGATTATTCATCGTATAGTTTGTAAAAGTTTGATCCGTGGAATTTGAATTTTAATTGCAGAGGACTTGATTGGCGGAAAAAGATTATGCTTTCGTTGGATGCTGCTTTCGGCATGGAATACCTCCATTTGAGAAATATCGTTCATTTCGATTTAAAATGCGACAACTTGCTCGTCAATTTGGGCGATCCGCAACGTCCTGTATGTAAGGTAAAAACAGCTGTTTCATTGGTTCCATAATATCTGTTGTTTAAGGTTTAATGAAGTTATTAAATATGGTCGAAGTTTAGGAAAGACGCGTGAAAAAAGACTAAAATACCCTTTACCATTTATTGAGGTGATAATAAGGGTAAAATTGGAAAACTGTATTTAATGCATTATTGGAACTTTGCAGATGATATACAAAATAAACAATTAGAGTAAGTACTGGGGTGCTGAGTAAAAATTTAAAAAATAAAATACAATTTTATTAAATATAAATGATGGAAAAATACTAAATTTGAACAAATTATAAGTTGGTTGTTGATTTATCAGGTTGGTGATTTTGGACTGTCGAGAATTAAACAGAATACGCTCGTCTCAGGTGGCGTCCGAGGAACCCTTCCATGGATGGCTCCGGAGCTTCTAAACGGAAGCAGTAGTCGCGTTTCCGAGAAAGTTAGACATCTCTATTAACTATATTATATTCCTATTTTTATGTCATGTAATTATATATGTTTCACATATTTCTACGATTTTTATCATAAATTTAAAAATCAAAGAATTTATTCGGGCAGGTCGATGTTTTCTCATTTGGCATTGCAATGTGGGAGATTTTGGCGGGAGAAGAGCCATACGCGAACATGCACTGCGGGGCCATCATAGGTAACGACAGTTTTCGGACAACGAATCTTGAAATTATCGATTACGCTTATTTGATTTTTTATTTTTTTATTTTTAATTTAATTTTTTTTAATTTAAAAAAAAAAGGTGGAATTGTGAATAACACACTGAGACCACCGATACCGCAACGGTGCGATCCGGAGTGGAGAAAGTTGATGGAAGAATGCTGGTCGCACGATCCGGAAGAAAGGCCGTCGTTTACGGAGATTACGAACCGGCTTCGTGTTATAGCTACAAAGCTCCAGCAAAAGAGATACAGTAATAGAGTCAAAAAATGAGATTTTAATTAATCTTTAATCATTGTTAATCCCTGTTAATCCCAGCCTAAGTGAAAAGGATATGTGGATTTAATTGTCTGAGTAAATTAAATTAGTCTATCTCTCTCTCATTCTCCTCAATTTGTTGTAAACCAATTTTGTATATGTAGATATATTATATATATACTCTTTTTTGTTTTTTTTTTTTTTTGACCAAACTTGTTGACCTTGTGAGTTATCCAGGTTATTTCCCTATGTTGACCTTGTTGACCAAACTTGTTGACTTTTTTGACGGACTGAAGTACCCTTATAATTTATATGTTAAGGGGTGTCAAAGTAATAAAACAAATATATAAGGGGTGTCAAAATGTATAACTATAATACTGTGGTTGCTTGAAATATATATATATATATTTTTTGGTAAATTACAACCATCCTTGAGGTATGTTCAAATTACTAAAACTCTCTCATGTTTGTATAAATACAACCACCCATCAACTATAAATCTTCTTTACGTCCACTATTGCGATTTCAAATTTAAGTGAAATCTTCTTGATTATATAGAAGATTCTCAATTTTGTACCCGTTTTATTCCATTCGAACTCCACATTTTGAAGCAAGATAATCATAAGATGTGTTTTTTGGCTTGTATATATCAGATTGTGCTACATTATATACTGTATTTTTGGACAAAACGAGTACAAACTAGAGAACATTCCAAAATTACCCCCAACTCCTTGAAACCCTAATTCAACTCAAATTTCATGATTTACACCTCAATTTAGCTCAATTTCACCAATTAACCAATTTTGACCACCACCTCTGATCAGATAAGTTGACTTTTTTTTTCCTTAATTTTTTCTCCGACAGGTCACCGTCAGTCTCGACCGTTGACTTTTTTTCTTTAAACATTTTCTTTACTTCAAAAAAATTTATTTTTATTAATATTATTTAACTGTCTGAGACAGTAATTTTACTAGGGCTGTGCGTTGGTTGGTTTGGTTAAAAACCAGCTATAAAACCAACCCAACCCATCCAACCAACTTTGGTCAATATTGGAAACCGTTATCGACCCAATTTATATGGGTTGGGTGATGGTTGAAAACCAATTTAATGGGTTGGTTGGTGGTTTGGTTGATGGGTCATCCATGTAAATATTTTTTAATTTTTTTTAATATTTTATTACTTGTTACAACACTATATCTGTTATAAATTAAATGCGAGTAGTTCAACAATATTCAAATAAAAGATTCAAAACATTACGGTCATATATATTGCAATTAAACATAAATAGTTCAACAAATAATAATCATCCAAATATTTAGACTATATGTCTTCAAATTAAAATAGTTCAAATTAGATAATTAGGTTAGATTTATTGCTTTTAGGATTTTGGCCAATATTAGACAATTTAATAAATGTGATATATAACAGAAATTTGAAATTAAAAGTATTAAATATTTTAATTAAAATTAATAAATAATAAATTAATGAATAAAGTTGGTTGGCCGATATTAACCGACTAACCAACTTTTTAGCATTTTAGAAACCATTATCGACCCAACTATACATGGGTTGGTTGACATTATCGACCCAACTTAAATGGGTCGGTTGATGGTTGATTAACCATCACAAATTGTGGGTCGAAAATGGGTTGGTTGGTGGTTAAAACCGATCCATGCACAGCCCTAAATTTTACTGTCTGAGAAAATAATTTTACCGTATTAATTAATTTTATCGTCTTGGCTTACAATTTTGTTGTCTTAGACCGTAATATTACTGTTTGTGACAATAATATTAGTAATAATATTAGTAAAAAAAATATAAAATGAGGGTTAATGTGATATAGTTGTTCAATCGGGGTTAATGTGCAATATTAATGAAGTTAGAGTATAATTGATCAGGGAATTGATAAAAATTATATTATGGTGAGTATTTTAGATAAAAGGCATCAGGATGAGTTTATTAGCGAAATCGTTTTTTTGTGTACCTGTGTGCATTTAAATCATTTGTCACGGACCTATTTGCCATTTGCCCTATAATATAATCCACTTTTATAGATACTATTTATAGACATATATCTAAAGGAAGACGGAACCTACAAACTTTCCCATCAAGAAAGAGACCAAGTGCTAATAATAGTATTTGTGTCAAAAGTTATCTTCATATATACATAGTTTGTTTCAAGCACTCATGAGTCAAGGGGACACAAGTGTATATATCTAGACTAGACTATGTTTGTATATCATATGTTTCTTGTCTGTTATACTATGATTGATTTAGTCAGATTCTTTGAGTTTGTATTTTGGTTCTTAGTTATTATTTTAATATCTATATATACCACAAGTTCCAAAATTTTCGAAGAGAAAAACAATGTTGTATGTGTTGAGATTTTCTTCTTTACATTGTATGTAATATTCTGTAATTCAAAAAAAAAATTCAAATAAAACAACTATATTAATTCATTGGCCATATTGTTATATTGTTACATATATTAAAAGCACTGCCTTTGAATCTCTTGAGCACTAACAAATGTGCCATGAAATCCATAGGGCACCCTCTTAGGCAACTTAACTAGAGCAACTTGTTCCATTGTCGAAGCTTTCAATATCACAAATTCCGATTTTTCGTTTTCTTCGTCCCTCACAAAACTCATGAGATACCCTTCTTCTTCGTCTTCCTCCTCTGCAGTTACCGGGACGAAACATGGCTCGCCACCGAACCTGTGGGGCCCGTACAAGTACTTAGTCACTTCTCCCGTTTCCAAATCGACCCTAGCGATTCCACTACATTTCGGCCATGGATCCGCTATAGCCAAGTACACGTACCTAGTTTTCTTGCCTAGTTGTTGCTTGTTTATTTGTCCCGCTTCTAGGTTCATACCCGACACGACGACCCTCCGGGTCGACCCGCCCGTTTTCAAATTCAACCGGATCTCGGATAACTCGCTTTTCAAATCGTCGCTACCCGAAAAAATCGAATCCGCCGGCGTCATGCAAGAGTTAATGACGACGATAATTTTGTCGCCGTTTTCGTCGCGCTCCTCCCACGCATTCCACATATGGAAACAAAAACACTCCGGAACATCTATCCATCGGATCTCCGATTCGTCAACCGCATTCTTCGGCAAAACACCGAATCGGGTCATCTTATTCGGGTCGTGGATCACGGGCGACCCGCCCCGCATCATCTCGGATAACTTGAATACCATCTGGTGATCCGGGATCACCACGTGAGATTCCGTCATGGTGAAGTCGTGGATCATGGTCGGCTGTTCGATTGAGATGGTCAACTCACGTGACTTATTCCCCCATTTATCGAATTTGAGGAATTTGAGGTAGGGTTTCGAGAGTATGTTGTAGCTGAGGGTGTAGAGATCCCCCGTGGCGGGGTCCACCTTAGGGTGGGCTATCATCGAGCCCTTGACTTGCCCGTCGAAATCGTACTGCCCGATTGTCTCGAGATCTCCGGCTTCCGTTAATCTGACGGTGTAGGGGAGATCATCCTCCGACATGGCGAGGATCCGACCGTTGAAGTAGACTACGTTGACGTTAGCCAGACCAAAGCCGTCTGCTGCATTGACCAGTCCGGCTAAGGCTCGAGCCGCGAATAGGGCGAGCCGAGCCAAGCCGGAGTGGCCATGCAGCTCGCCGATCTGCTTGGGGAAGACTGGCTTTCTGAGTGCGGCTTCCCCGAGCAGACGGTTGGTTCTGGTGAAGCGGCAGGCGTAGCTTGCTCGATTTTCGGGGGCCGCCAGGGTGACGGCATGGATCATGCCGTCGCCGTCGAAGAAATGGTGGCCGCTGATTGGCTCGAATAACGGGTTGCCGCCGTTTCTAAGGTAGGCCCCACGTACGCTTGTAGGGATGGTCCCCACTACTTCGAGATCTTGATGGACCGGGCATTCTTGAACCGGTGCATAGTTGCCTTCAAGTTGGACCGTGGGGTCCACCATCCGATTCAGCTTGTGGTTTTTTTCCATATTTGTCACGATTGATTTCTCCACCATGTCGAGGGCGGCGGCGGCGAGTTTCTGGAATGGGTTGTGGTGCGGCGGGGGTATGGTGGTCGGGGAGAAGATGGTTGGTGGTTCCGGTGGCTGAGGAAATGGCGGCGGCGGTGGTGGAGGTGGTTTGTTATTTTTTCTAGGGAAGCTTTTTTCGGATGGGTTGATTAGAATTTTGCATGTGATTTTACAGCTTCTTGATGAAGGTGGCGGCTGAGTTCTTGTGTTGGATTTGGTTTTGAAGAACGGAGATTTGGATGACGGCGGCGGCGGCGGCGGTGAGGTGGAGAAAAGGTGGTGGGTGAGAGAGAGATTCATGTTGGATTAATTTTGGTGAGTAGAGAGAGAGAGAGAAATCAATCAATCATAGTATGTAATAAAAAATGGTGGAGTACGAGGAGGGCTTTTTGTACAAGAAGAAAATTGCATTTAAAGAACCAGCTCATTTCTGAGGTGTAGGTCAAAAGAATTCTTTTTTTTCAATTCGAATTTGTTTTTTTGAAAAATAAATATTATAATTTCCGTTCCCATTTAAAAAAAAAATCAAATTTTAAGTTTTTAACGAAATTTAATTGGATCAAATTTGGAAATTTTAATTTAGGTCCATTTTCTGAATTGTGATTTTTTATTTTCAATAATTATGTTTAACATGTCAATGTAAATTAATACATTTTTTATCTATTTGATTATACTATAAGTGGAAATTTTGATCAATTCGATTTCAATATCTATTTTACTAGTCTCGACTGTATTATTAATTTATAGAGATTTAACTGTATATACCATCAGCCGATTAGAAATTTTTGCACGTGAGATTTCGTATGGCTGGCCTTTGCATGCAATTGGCGTAGCCATCACAAATCCATGCAAAATCCACTAGACAAAAAACAAAGCAATTTACATTTATAACGTTCTTACCCATATTGATGGTTGGTAAATCCTAAATCGAACAAAAAATAATTACACTGCGTGTATAAATCATTATAACAAATATGTACATACATATATAGAATTTTAGTAATTTATTCAAAATTACTAAAATTACTAAGAACATGAACGTAAATGCACATTTAATTTAATGATGTGATATAATAATATACTTAGAAAAAAAAAATCATAAATCAACACGACAAAAGAAGATGAGAACTACTTAAATTGAAATATTTCATAAATTAGTTACCATTTTGATCAATTACATATTTTCTTTTCTAATTCAATTTAATTTTAATAATTCTTTTTGTGTGTTTTATTTTATTCAAGCTAAAATTACTTTTCTTCACCAATTTTTTAACTCATAATTTTGTTCCTCTCTTTCTTTTTAGCTTTCAAGCCCATCTTAAAATTGTGACCCGACCCAATTGTCCATTTAAGGCCCGGGTCGATCTTGTGCTAAAATAAAGGTTAGATGGGCCTGGGCCTAGGTGAATGCATGTTATTGTTAATTAATTATCTCATTTAATCATACTTATAAAACAAATAGTAAACAACCGAAAAAGAAAAAAACATACAATAACGAAAACAATTTTATTAACTTATAGAAAAATCAATTGTTAAATTTCATTACGCAAGGCGAAGATCGTGATTATTTACCGTTCGGAGTATTAATTGAAGAGAGTCTCGAAATGGGGAGAGGGTTTAAATTATGTTCATTTAGCTTTTCTAAGCACTCGGGCAATCTGTTAGCTTAAAATTCTTTGTAATGACGTATTGAGGGCTATGACCTCTCGTTGGATTTACCGAATATCGCTTCATAATATAATTATTTTCTTAAAAAAAAAAGAAAAGAAAAAAAAAAATCAACCGGAGACCAGTTCATATTAACGAGGACAACAACCCACCCTTAAATATAAGAATCAATTACAATTAAATGGGGCAATTTGCTATAGGTCCTCGTATAAGAGATTATATGTGTTAAAATCCATCTAATAAACTCTAATTTCCAGCAAATTTTTGTATTTATAATTTGTCATAAGTACCCCTATCAATATCCCTATTAATATACGGTAAAATATATCTTCAAAATCAAATCCCCTATTTTTCTCCCTATTATAATCCACAATCCGAAAATTATAATTGCAAAAATATTGAAATCGATTTCTTCCATGTTTCTTCAAAGCGAAAATCTCACCACGGATTTTGAATCCTTCCATAGGTTTTGGGTGTTTGGTCGTTTGCAGTTTTACGTTTGCATTTTGTCTTCGTTCGATTTGCTGTTCAATATTTGCATTTGTTTCGTTTGCGGTTTACAAATTTGCAGTTCACTATTTGCATTTGTTTCGTTTGTTGTTTACAGGGTTTGTTGTTCCGAAAATTACAATTGCAAAAATATGGAAATCGATTTCTTCCCTATTTCTTCAAAGCGAAAATCTCACCACGAATTTTGAATCCTTCCATAAGTTTTGGGTGTTTGATTGTTTGCAGTTTTACCAGGTCGTTTGCATTTTGTATTCGTTCGATTTGCTGTTCAATATTTGCATTTGTTTCGTTTGCTGTTTACAAATTACTAGGTCTAAGCGTTTTGCCTTTATTCCGTTTGCCTTCGTTCGATTTGCTGTTGCCCAATTTGACTTCGCTCTGTTTGCAGTTTACAAATTGTTTGTTGCTCGGGATCAACGGCTGGTGTTTAGGGTTTGTTGTTTGGAGTTCATACGATGGCCAATACACGATTAAGTCTTGGTAATCAATGATCCTTTGTGTAAAATTTTATTTGCATGTTGGGTTTTCGATTTTGATTTTTTTTCTTTCATCTCAAATTTTGTATTTTGTTCCTTTTTTGCTTTTGTATTTGTTTGTTTGCTATTTATTTCAAATATTTCAATAATAATTTGAGAACCCGTTTTTTCTCCCTTAACAGCAAAGGAGGATGATGATTTCCAATCCCCGAAATCAGGTAAATTGAGGGGTTTGTTTATGTTACGACTTTGGTTATGTTTATTCTAAAACAATACATTTGAAGAACCTAATTATGTGTTCTGTCTTTGCATCAAAATTCTCGTTTTGGATTTCTACATTTTACCGGTTTTGTTCAAATAATAAATTATTTGATTGTATATTTTTTGGTACTTTGAAGAACCCATTTATTCGTTTTTCATTTGCAAAAAACTCATTTACTGAAAATTTTGATTCGCACGTAGTTGGGTTAATATTGCATAAGGCAGCCTATTTTGAACATAAGACAGGCTTTTGTTTGTATAAAATAAATAAAACAAAAAAAAATGTAAATTGAAATTACAAATTACGTGTAGGATATGCATTATGCATCGTCTATATTTAATTATAAACAACAAACTACATATATTTAATTACAAACAACAAAATGAACAAAATATGATATGCATAATCTATATGCAAACAATAACAATAAAAAAATGTAATATTACAAATTGCAGTTTGCAGTTTTCTATTCATGTTGCTAATTTATTTTGCAATTCAATTTCTTTTTGGTATTTATCGAATGAAAATCAATTAGAAAATACAAACAAAAAATAAAAGTTCACTTAAAAAAATTAAAATTGAAAGAGATAGAGAGAGAGAGGGAGAGAGAAAGAGGGGGCGTGTATTTGGGGAGGGGGAGAGAGAGAGAATGAGAAGGAGAGAGAGAGAGAGAGGCCACGTGAGAGTGATTGAGAGAAGAAGAGTAATAACTGGGATTTGTTAACCACTTTCTTATAAAATTAATTATTAATTGAGGAGGGATTTTTTGTCTATACACTAATAATTTAATTTAATTTATATTAATTTTATTGGGTAAATGACTTATATCTATATTCATGTAATAGAAAGGACCTCCACCTATATAAGTCCATAATTAGGGTTGTTTAGCCAATTTCCCCTTAAATTATTGAAAATAATAAATTAATAATAAATTTATTTTTGTATAAATTGGAATCACCGGTTTATATAATAAAAAAATGTCTTTTTTTCTTTTCTTTTCTTTTCTTTTCTTTTTTGTGAAAAACATCATAGTATAATCTCAAATTGTCAAAACAATCCTCGTATTAAACTAATTAGCGAGAAACTCTTGTGTAATCCTGGATTGACGAGGAAGATGAATCAACATTCAACATTATTTTCTCTCTCTATTTCTTTCTTCTTTTTTATCTTTTTCCTTTCAGAATTTTGATTTCATTTTTTTCTAATTAAGGGCAATTTTGTTATTTTATCGAAGTCAAAATCAAAAAATAAAATAATTTGCAATGCGCTTTGTAAAACATAATTAGGGGTGAAAGTCGGATGGATCAGATCGGAATTAGCCTTTTCGGAAAATTTTCAAAAAAAATCGGAAGTACAAAATTAATTCAAATTTCAATTCTAAAATTTTCGGAATCTAAAAATTCATTCCAATTCCAAAAGGCCCGGAAATTTCGGAATTTCGGAAAAAAATCGGAAATCACATAAGCTTTAAAATTTCAAAACTTAGCCAAAATTTTCTAAAATGTTCATAATTTTTCGAAAATAAGAGCATCCACGTCGATAAAAGTAAAACTAATAATTACTAAATTCCAGTTCAAAAAAATAAATAAAAATAAACACAACATAATATCTGATAAAACTTCAAACAACAATTCATTATGTCAAAATTCTAAAACAAAACTTATAGGTGTATTTTTCGGAAAATAAATATTGTATAATATATACTATTTATAGGTGTATTTTTCGGAAAAAAATCGGATTTTTTCGGAATTAATTTCGGAATTAAATCGGATCGGAAATCGGAAATGCCAAATTTATTTTATATAATTCCAATTTGAATCCAAAAAAATGGAAAAATCTCGGATATCGGAATTTCGGAAGTCGGAATGACAAAAGTTGTTCCAAAATCGGAACTTTTCGGATCGGAAACGGCGGAAATTGAAAAATTCATTCCAACTTGCACCCCTAAACATAACATAAAGGAGTTAATTACTAATTCTTTTAACATGATAGTTTTTTTGACAATTCGAGATTATACTGCGACTTCTTTGTAATTAACTCTAAAATATGATGAATAACTAATGATTAGTTTAAAAGGGGAAACAAAATCAGTGGTATATATGTCCATTCGAATCCACGACCACAATTTATGATTATGTGGTTGTGGAAATGATTATATGATTGGTTTTGGAAATAGAGATTTTGACTTTTTAGTTTTGATGATATAGTATTTTTTAAAATTTTAAATGCCTTATTTATTTAGTTTTGTGCCAACTGAATTCTCTCCCAAATCTTGATAAAAAAAATTAATTATCTCATAATTAAAAATTAAGAATTTTATTAATAAAATTATATATATTTATTATAAGGGTAAATTACACTCACACCCCTGAAGTATGTTAAAA